CTTAAAGTGGGGAAAGAAAAGAATGCAAGATTGCCACATCAGAGTAAGAGAAGCTGAGAACAGACTTCAGCAAAAACTAGTGTGCTGAGTGAGAAGATAATGGAGGAAAAAAATAAGAACGTACATTTCTATTGATTCTCAACAGTAGTATGAGTACAATACAATGCAGGATTTTGAAAAGAAGTGGTTTGAGAGGTGATTTATAGAAAGTGATAACTTTGAGGTTATTTTATTCATTTTTCCATTCTTGTGTAAGATTTTACATGTATATGTATTAATAAATTCTCTTCTTAAAATAGTATGCAAAGTTTTTTTTAACATATTCCAGCTGGAGATGAGCACCTGTGTTTTTTTTAATTGCACTTATTTATATTTGTCATCTTCTTCTAGTCTACAAGCCCCTTTAATGTCAAGGGCCATATTTTATTGTTTTCTACATCCCTGATGCTGGACACAGAGTAAACATTTTATAAATGTTAGACGAAGAACCATGATATTTTGACATTTGCTGTAGTTTTTCTGAAAATCATTTTTTGATCCTAGGCGAATGTACATTTAGGGTTGACTGTGGAATGAATCATGATTTAAAAAATGGTAAAGTTTGACTTTGCAACTTTTTAAGGGTCAAAGAATCTTCTTATTAATTTACCAAGATGCTACTCAGATGGTAATTATATTTTTGTATAACTTTTAACTTCTTAAATCATATTTAATATGGAAGTAAGTTATATGAGAAATAAAATAAATATAGGGTTCCCTCAAGGAACAGTCTCATTTGAAACTTTTCAATTTTGTTATTGGCCCAAACATCTATAGATCCCCCAGTTCCTCATATCTCATCCATCTTACCTCCTGAAGATTATATTTCCACAATATCACCCATATTTATAATTTAACTTCCATTTCTACACCCTGTTTGATTCTTTTAGTCTCTTTTGGCTACCTCCTTAGGACTTCAGACCCTTTCCTGCTCTATGGTTTTCATTACCTATCCAGGTAAAATCTAAAATCCTTTAGACTAACTGTCATGACTTTTCATGTTATTGCTGTAGCTTCTCTGTCCAGATTTATATGCATGCG